TCTGACATGTGTTCATGGACCCTCGTTTCACACACATGTCAGACATTAAAAAAACTAGCGGCTCGCCCTCTGTGATTTCTATCCACAGAGAAAAGGAGAATCATAAGTTTGACTGGGACAACGTCCAAATATTGGATAACGAGAAACAGTATCTGTTATATCCGGGATTAAATAATTACGCCAGTAGATTACGGATACACGAAAGATATAATATGTATTTGCTGGAAACGGTTACACAAATACTCAGTACGAAAAGTCCACGATAAACACGTGCTGCGTGCTCCAAGCCACGAAACGGAGTGCGCAGCACGGAGCAATCACGCGGCGCACATGCTTGCACGCTGCTCCGGTTTTCGCCTAGTGCCACCGGAAAACGTGGCGCTCTTATATCCTATTACGCGGCATTATGAATATCTATCATACATAACAGCTCTTCCCCTTTTTTACAAAATTTCTTAATTCTATGGGAAGGTAAAAAAACAAAAATCTCTATATTTACGCTACAACAGTATTAACCCTGACTTAATATTATCATTTCTCTCTCTTTTTTTTTTACGACCGGAAATAAAAAAAAAATATATATAATACACTTCGATAGTTGCTCTGGTTCCTAAAACGAAGATAAGTAATCTCTGTACCGATCTGGTTCTTTTCTATTTCGCTTAGGACGTTCGCTTCGAACCAGTTCGCTCGCATGTGAATTTGTATTTTCCTCCACAGGCAATGGTACCTGTGAGCACGCAACTGCCTCTGACTCTACCTCGGCCGATGCTTGAGCGGTGTTAGTCAAACCCTCGTCATCCGTTGAAGTACTCGGTCTCTCTCCATTAGAATCCAAATCTCTTAAAACTAATTCAGGATTCGCATAATTAAAAATATCTATTTTATTATTTGGTTCACTTTCATTACTATCCTGTTCGCTTGAACGTAATTGATTTACATGTCTTTTCCAAATTTTACCATTTTCTAATTTTATTAAATAATGTAGCTTTCCTAATTTTTGATGTACACTACCGACTCGCCATTTCAATTCTTTATTCAGATACTCACGAGCGACTATTTTATCTCCTATCTCAAAATTTCTTGCTCCATTACACTCCCTTGATTCTTTCTTAATTTCTAGTTCCTTCGGGAAAATTAAATCTAATCGGTTACGCAAATTCCGTCCGAACATAATTTCAGCTGGTGATTGTTTCAATTCCGGAATTGGAGTGATACGGTAATGGAACAAAAACTTCTGAACGCTAGTTTTTACATTCTCTTTCGTTAAGTTAGTTTTACGTAGCCATTGTTTCAACGTCTGTACAAATCTTTCTGCTGCACCATTGGTAGCCGGATGATAAGGAGCCGTACATCTATGGATAATTCCATTTGCTTTAATAAAATTTTGAAACTCTTGGGAAATAAATGTTCTCCCGTTATCCGTTACTAGCATTTTAGGCAGGCCGAATCTAGAGAAAATTTCACGACATTTTTCAATAGTAGTTGTAGCTATAATATTTTTCATTACATAGACTTCGGGCCATTTTGTATGCGCATCTATACAGACTAAAAAATTATGACCTGCAAATGGTCCCGCAAAGTCCATATGAATTCTTTGAAAAGCTTGCTCCGTAGGCTCCCAATGATGCAATGGCGCGGGCTTCGGATTATTTTGCACGCGACTACATTCTTTACAATTTCGAACCGTTTTTTCGATTTCCAAGTCGATACCTTGCCACCACACATAATTTCTCGCTAACCCTTTCATTTTTACAATACCCATATGGCCTAAGTGTAATTCTTTAAGAATTCTATTTCTTAAACTTTCTGGAATTACTACTCTATCTTTTCTTAACAAAATTCCATTATTTAGCGCGAATTCGTGATCTTGCAAACCAAATCTTTTAAGACTTTCGCCTTTTTCTAATGCTTTTACTATCTTTGCAAGATTTAAATCTTTCGAAGTTTCCAATTTGATTTCGCTCGCTTTAGCCGGTAACATGTTTAACGTATCGATTGTGTACACATCAAGCGCATCATAATTTGCCATAAAATTCTCCTTAATTGGTAGTCGCGACAATCCGTCCGCATTGCCATGATTTTCAGTTTTCCTATATTTTATCTCAAAATTAAACCCTTGCAAGAAAACCGCGTAATGTTGCATACGCATCGCACTATATGCTGGTAAACCCTTACCCGGACTCAAAATTTGCGTAATCGGCTTATTATCTGTGAGTAACGTAAAATGCTTACCATATAAGAAGTTATGAAACTTTTTAATACCGAAAATAATGGCATATGCCTCCTTATCAATCTGAGTATATTTTCTTTGTGTTTCATTTAATGTACACGAAGCATATTGTATAACTCGTTCCGTTCCATTCGGATATACATGAGACAAAACTGCTCCGACCCCATATGGACTAGCATCAGTTGCCACCACGATTGGCAAAGTTGGGTTAAACGAAACTAGTATTTTATTACTACAAAATGCTTGTTTGGCCTGCCGCCAAGCGTTCTCACAATCCGAAGTCCATTTGAAACGCGTATTTTTCTTTAATAATTCATTTAATGGTCTTAGAATATTACTCAAATTTTCTATAAATCGCCCATAGTAATTAATCAAACCTATGAACGCTCGGACTTCAGAAACGTTTCCCGGTCTCGGTAACTTTTCTACCGCTTCCATTTTCTTTTGTTCTTTTTTTATACCGTCTTTCCCAATAATATGACCCAAATACGAAATTTGATCTTTTAAAAATATACATTTCTCTAAATTAATTCTAACGTTATATTCCGATAGCCGATTTAAAACCAATTCCAAAATTTCAAAATGTTTTTCTACGTTTGTACTTGCAATTTTAATGTCATCCAGAAAAACCGTAATATCTGGAATATTTTTCAAAATATTTTCAATCGTCCTCTGCCAAATCGCTGGCGCCGACGCCACTCCATACATAAGTCGGTTGCATTGATATAACCCTTTGGACGTATTTAAAGTAAGAATTTCTTTATCTTCATCCCTCAATTCCAATTGCAAATAGGCTTGTCTCAAATCTATTTTTGAAAAAATCGTACAACCAGCCATTTTAGCAAAAAGTTCATCATGGGTCGGTAATGGATGCTCATCAACTATCAAACAAGAATTTATCGTGACACTAAAATCTCCACATATTCTTACCCCGCAATCTTTCTTTAACACTGGCACTATCGGGGTTGCCCATTTCGACGCTTCTACGGGCTTCAATATTCCCGCTTCCACCATTCTATTTAATTCGTTTTCTACTTTATTTCTTAATTGAAAAGGCACTTGTCTACTTCGAAGAAAAACTGGCTGTGAATTTGATTTTAAATTTAACTGGGCTTTTATTTTTTTAATCGGAGAAAAATCTTCACTTGTCACGTTTGCATATTTGTCTAATAAACTGCTTAGACGACTATTCCCAGATTGTTCTACCATATTTAATGACTGAATTTCTTCTAAACTCTTTTTTAATTTATTAAACGTTTGTAGCTGATTCATCCATTCCCTACCCAAAAGTGGCTGTCTATCATATTTTACTACGTACATATTTAAATACTTCCATGCATTTAGATCTCTAATTTTTACTTTTACATATCCAACTGGAACGAACTCTTTTCTACAATACGATCGCAATTTCAACTCAGTTTTAATAATTTCTAGCTTCGGAAACATTTGACTTAGCCAATGCTGACTCACCAAGGTCACCGCCGCTCCGCAATCCACATCAAATTCTATTTTCCTGTTTTCTACTTGGAGAGAGACCGTGTACTTCGACCGATGTTTAGCGTGTTCGCATGCTGTTTCTATAGCGGCAATGTCCTCTACGTAGTTTGTTTGACCTTTCTTTTTGCAGACCTTTTTCAAATGACCATAACCGCCGCATTCCAAGCACTTCATCGACCGAGGAAGAGAACAGACGGGCGCCAAATGATTTCCACCACACCTAAAACATATCGTTTTATTATTTTTAAAACTATTTTTAAATTGTTTCGCATTTCCCGTCTCTTTCGATGTCTTCTTCGCCTCCGGTTTCCCAAACGGCTGCTTCTTGCGCTCCTTTTCGTTCGTCTTCTTCCTATTTTTGCTCCCAGCTCCAACGAAGTCGACTGCCGCCACTGGTTCGTCCTTCAGCTGGTGAACTCCTTGGTCTGCCATCTCCATAGCGTAAGCAATTTTAAGAGCTCTCTCCATCGTCAGATCGACTGATTCCAAAAGTCTGGCTTGGATCCGTGGATTTTTAATTTCAAATACAAATTGGTTCCGCAACTCCGTTTTTAAATAATTGCCGAATTTGCAATGCAACGACAATTTTTGCAGTGCAGCCATGTACTCCTGTGCTGCTTCACCATCTTTTTGCATTCGTTTGCGGAATGTATAAATTTCCGCAATTTCCAACGGCTCTGGGGCGTAGAATTCACTCAATTTATTACACAATTCATCGAACGATTTAGTATAAGGGTCATCCGGATCTAATCGATCACACAAAACTCCGAATGCCTCGACTCCGATGTAATGTAGAAGGTACACAACTTTTTCATCATCCGCCGTTATTTTGAACACCTTGAAAGATCCTTGTAAACGTTGAAGCCAACGTTTCCATGTTTGCTTGGCCGGGTCGAAATTTTCAATCTGAATCACGTTTTGTGCATTAACGAGATTTCCAGATCCGGAGCTTGTCCTCGCCGGATTTTGTGAGCCACCGGAACCACTTGTGGACATCTTACTCAGCTTCTGGACTTAGTTCACTCACTCAACGATGCCGGTCAACGATTTCTATACGTTGCTCGTACCCTCACGTTCCGCCGTTTCCACACTTCAACTCATGTATCACTGGCATCCCATCCTCGTCGCCAGAATTGTTATATCCGGGATTAAATAATTACGCCAGTAGATTACGGATACACGAAAGATATAATATGTATTTGCTGGAAACGGTTACACAAATACTCAGTACGAAAAGTCCACGATAAACACGTGCTGCGTGCTCCAAGCCACGAAACGGAGTGCGCAGCACGGAGCAATCACGCGGCGCACATGCTTGCACGCTGCTCCGGTTTTCGCCTAGTGCCACCGGAAAACGTGGCGCTCTTATATCCTATTACGCGGCATTATGAATATCTATCATACATAACAGTATCAAAAAAGATTAACGTCAGAGATGATCCATATCATTAAGCAAAAGAATGGATTAAATAAGCAAAGTGACACAGAGTTCCTCTCAGATACGTATCTTCCGATCCTTAACAGAATAACCCTTCCCTG